TTATTGATTCTACATGCCACTTTTTGACTTCTACAAACATACAGTTATAGGCTACAGTATACAAATAATGAATGTTTATGAGTGCAATGGTAAGAATATTTTCATGAGGTGAAAGATGGAATGTTCCATCCAACGAGGCGACAGCTGACTTGAATGGAACATTCCATCTTTCACCGAATGAAAATATTCTTACCATTGCACGAATAAACATTCATTATTTGTTTTAATACCAAAATAGACTAATAGATTCGTATGAGAAGCATTTTGACGGATGCGATTTATCGAAAACACAATGAATGCAATGGAATAAAACGTATAGTGCAGTTGCACTTGCAAAGAGTGCAATGGAACGTATTCCATTGCACTCTTGGGAAATGGAATTTTCTATTCAATATCGCGTGACCATAAACAGCCAGTTAAACGATCAGAATTCAACAATGTATTATATAATATGCAATGTAATGGTTTTCTATCGTACCGTGACAGTGTACTCGGTATCTGCCTGAAGACGTCTGATAATGCACGAACGATCAAGCCCATTGTAAGCAGCCTGCAGAAAAATATATATTACTCAACATTTATCCTGTTCCATTTATTTCTGATCTCAGCAAAAAAATTGCGTAAAATTACTTAACACACCTCTCCATTGACTTTGACTTCATAACCAGTGATTCTGCTTAACGGTTCCTTCGGAATATCCCATTCGACTTGGATTTCATGCCTGCCGAGAACTGACAGAGTTGGTTTGGCTGGAGCGTGATGACCTGCGCGTGATAAACATTCATGTTCATAAAGCGTTACAGAATATCTTGAAAATAAGCAAACACAATGTCTTTGGTTTCCTATTTGTGATTTTGAAATGAAATTGATTCAATATGAACTTACCAAGGTCCACTGTGTGTACCAGTAAAACAGCGGGCTCACCGCGACCTCGGCCTGTGACAGCGTATACCTGAATAAATGAGCGTAAATGAGCATTAGGCTGTTGTAGTTGTTGTCGCTGTTGCTGTTGTTGCTGTGTTAATGTTGTCGTTGTTGTGTAGTTGGTGCTGTTGTTGTTAATGTTGTTGTTATTGTTGCTGTGTTGTTGTAGCTGTTGTGTTATTGCTTTTATTGTTGTTGCTGTTGTGTTATTGCTGTTATTGTTGTCGTTGTTGCTGTTGGGTGTTGTTGTCATTGTTGCGGTTGTTTTTGTCGTTGTGTAGTTGATGCTGTTGTTGTTGTTAATGTTGTTTTTGTTGCCGTGTTATTATCGTTGTTATTGTTGCTGTGTTAATGCTGTTATTACCGTTGCTGTGTTGTTGATGTTGTTGTTGTTGCTGCTGCTGTTGTTGATGTTGCTGCTACATCTCGTTGCGATTATTGCTGCCATTGTTATTTACTATTCCTATTACCTGAAATTTGTATTCAGTTCCAGGTAATAAACCAGAGAAAATGAAGTAAGTGTCTTGAGTTTCTTGAAATGGTGCCAGTGACACTAAAAAAAATTTGTACAAACAAAAGAATTTTAAAATGTTCTTTCGATTTTACACAAAGTGAATGCATCAATTGTGTTACCAACCTATTGTTTAAAATACTCTTTTTACCTAATTCATGTAGCAAAGGTTGCACTTCGCATATTTGACGTAATTGAAATGTGTGTTTAATTGAAATTTGCGTGTTTAACGTTTACCTAATTACATACTTTATTACATACCTTATTTTATCTTTACAACAATTGTGATATTATTTTCATGGTGGTAACGTACCAAGAAGTGTTTGTCGTGAATGATATTTATTAGGGGTGCACCGGATTTCAAATGCGGCCGGAATTCCGGCCAGATTTAACGAATTTTCCGGCATCTGGCCGGATTTGGGGAAATCCGGCCGGATTTTATTTTCTGTTTTCACCTTAAAAATTCACCAAGAATGGGATAAACCATCAATTTGGCAGCTTTAAAGTTTAAAAAACACTTATATTATTAATAAATATTAAGTTATTAACAAAAAGATATTTAAAAAAGGTTTAAACAGAATCAAAAATCGAAACTGACACTAACTAAAAATAGTAAAAAACAAAAACCGCCATTTTGAATACTGATTTATCCCAATTGTCCCCATTACCGGTTCATCTCAAATCTAGCCGGAATTTTTGTCAAAATCCGGCAAATCCGGTTCCGGCCGGATTTGAAAATTCCAAATCCGGTGCACCCCTATTTTTTATGCATGTTTCCATATGGTTGCAACTGTCGTGACACTGTCGTGCACTGTCGCAAGTTAATTTTGTATCCAGGGATCGTACAAGCAGCTGGTGGCAGTTTTAAAAAGACGTACTGTTGTCACGCTGTCGTTTTTCTGTTCCATTAAAAAATAACCGTCACGACACGTTTTTAGCCTGCCGAGATGGAACTGGAGCCTATCTGGATGACACTGTTCTAACTGTCGGCGGGAACTGTTGCCAGCGTGTTGGGACAAGACTTTTCTTCATGTTTCCATTTGGTCGCGAAAACTACTCTGACGACAGTTACAACACGTTCGCGACAGTTACGACCATATGCAAATTTTAATTTGTAAAAATCGCGGACATAAATTTTGCATTTATCGTCGCCTCTCTGTCGTCGCCTCATGGTATGAACGACAGTTTCCGAAGTAAAGTCGACAATTTCCGTCACAACTTTACAACTTTACAACTCTTAAACAGGGTGGACTTCCGTCTACGCATGCGCGAGAAACGTGAGCGTGGAGTGCACGTGAGCGCGGGTTAATCGCGTGACTGAACTGATTCTAAAAACAAACACCAAATTTGCCAAAACTACTCGTGTTATGAAGTCACTCTCTTGTTTCTTTAGTGTTTCTACGCTCACAATTTTAGGCATTTCCAACTTAGGGGCTGACCATTAGAAAAGTGATGGGGCAAAAGCAAAAATAAAAATCGAACAGGGAAAATAGAAAGAAAAAAAAAATTCGTGGATCAGAAATGTTTGAAAAAAAAAATTCGTGCAGAGAATTTTCAATAGGGAAAATTACAGGGCCTATCGGAGGTACAGTGTAAGGGTGTCCCCACTGAGCTATAATATAGCTCAGTGGGTGTCCCCCAAATTTGGAAAACAAGCGTTTTAATCGTGTTTTAAGAAATTTTTTCGGGGAAAATGTGTTTTAAACCTTAATTAAACTGATGTTTGTACGAAAAAAATTTTTTTGACCCTTTTTTTTTGTCCTGAAAAAATTTTTGAGTCCGGAAAAGTCCTTGTTGTATATGAACAAAAGTCTAAAATGAGTTCAACATCCATCAACAAAAAGAAGTCGCGCTTATTACTACTGTTTAGAAGATAGACAATTAATTTAATTAACTAGGAACCCGTTCTACAATATAAACTAGAAATCGGCCAACAAATTGTCACGAAATACTGCAATGAAAATAGGGTCTCTGAAGTACCGATTTCACCGAACGGTCAAGTTTCTCTGCAAAGATCGTCCCTTTGCCCAATTTTTATCGAGTGGATCATCGTGTTACCAAGTCAAGGATTATGTATATACTTTAACATAAGAGTAAAAAAACTGGTGATAAAGGGTAGATTTTGAATAAAATACGAATATCTGTATACAAGATCTGAGCGTTATTACGAAGCTCTCGATACTTTCTCCAACAACATATTGCACTTAACTTTTTACAAAATTAAAAATATTCACACATTAAAGATATAAAAATGTAGCTTGCATTACAAAGAAATGTTGGCTTACCTAAGTTATACTTTACACGTCGATTAAAGTCAAGTAAAGCCCTTTCAAAGACGCGTGCCACATTAAACTACAGGTCACATGGCGGTAGAGAACTCGACGAAGTATTCACAATATTTCATAGCCAGTTTCAACGCCGCTGTGTACTATTCCTGTGAATTATGATGCCCAACACACCGGGTAACAAAATTTACCACTTTGTTCGGCTGTTCCAAGTACACTTTTAAGATACAAGGTCCGATCATATCATGTTATTCGAAGCATCTGCTCAAAACAGTCCAACATAAATATCGCCACTCATCTTCTTCGTATGAAAATATAAGTTTTCCTTTCAATTGCTTTGCTTTAAAAACAATCATTAGATTGTTGAAGAGTTAGTCAAAAACTTCCAACAACGAAAACCAAGATGCTTTCAAAAACCAGTGAATCACAATGGTGTAAACTTCAACATCCTTAGAAATTGTAAGCCAAACATCGAAAAGCAAAATTTGCGGGAAAAAGCTTACGATCCCGCACAATTTTTATGCAGCGTCGACGAAAGTCCACCCTGTTCAACTCTTACACTTTTAGCGTTACATAATGGCTAGCCCGCGAACGGGCTAGCCACAGAAATGAATAAAAGGAAAGCATTATTAATGCTACAATGCCAACCTCGTTCCCAGGGTCTCTCCTTCTGTAATGCATGCGCATGCTATAAGCTCGCTATAATCATGCAAATATGCCCTTGAATACACGGCACTTGTCACCTGTCTACAAAAGTTGCTTTGTATTTAAAGCAACATAATGTTTGAAGTGTCACCAGATGTTTCCTACACGCAACGGATATTTTTGAAAAGAAGAACAGGGAACAAGGATGAGTAATTATAATTGCTCAAGCAAACTTGGCGGCGATGATGACCCTGTTATCTTAATGGTATTTCATTTCATCTTCTTATTTCTTGGTGTATTAGGAAACATTGCAGTTATTATTTACAACATTTTTCTGAACCAAGAAAAAACTCCAAGCAGCAGGTTGGTTACACACCTTGCTTTGGCTGATCTTCTCGTCTGTTTAACACTTTATCCAAGAAAGATTGTTCAGTTATTTCATGAAGAAGTGAAAGATGAACACCTGTTTTGGACGATAACGCATACCGCATTCTACAGTTCTTTATTCCTTTCCATAACGATGCTACTATCCATCACAATTGACAAATATCTGTATATAGCGAAGCCACTGAAATATCCACTGATCGTGACAACACGAAGAACTTCCAAACTTATTCACATGTATCTGGTTAGCTGCATTGGTAATTCAGCTCCCACTCGCATATATTTATAGGGACCCCAGCAAAACATGCATTAAATATAATTGTTCACGACTTGTTGTATGGTTACACATCATCCAACAATTAACCGCTATTTGTGTAATGACAACCCTGAATTACAAAATGTTCAAGATCGTCAAAGAGCAAAGACAAAGGATGGCATCAGAATTCGTGTTACAGCCTCAACAGTCAGAGTCGGAACAAAACATGACTTGGTTCCGTCATCTTGCAAAGGAAGTAAAAGCTATGAAGACATTCGCCATTATCGTTGGAGTCTTGACATGTTGTTTTGTTCCATCTGTTGTCTTGGCTGTCATATTTAGTGCTTCAAACGGATATTCATGTTCCTTATACACTCCATATCTGATCGTTCTCGAGCTGCTTGGTATAAACTCCATTGCTAATGCCTTCATCTACGCATTAAGACATAAAAAATACACAAGGGCTTATAGGAAACTCTTTTCTTCGGCCTGGGCACGGCTTTTCCCACAAAATAACTGACTTATAAGATCGGCATATGGTGACAACACAGGAGAAGGATCTGGGCATTTATATTACTATAGGAACCATGTTAAAGCCTGGTTTCCATATGGTCGTATAAATTGAGTCACGATCTTTCTCAACGGCTAGTTTATGATAGTTTATACCTGTACATGTAGACCACATATAAATCATAGGTATTCTCTAGTTATAATCACTTCGCGTATTTTCAGTTCTAAAATGTTGTATTTCGGCTGATGAGAAAGATCGTGACTCAATCTTTACGACCGTTACGACCATATATGGAAACCAGGCGCCACATCCAAAACACTAAAAATTCAAAGCTCTAGCGCCACGGCTTTTATACGAGTAAATACGATATTTTTCAAAGACATCTCAAACATTCTTGCTTACCTTTCGGTCCTTTCACAGTCACGTGATAACACATCAAAATCCCATTGGTCAACTCAGGTGGTTCCCAGGCTACTTTTATTTGCGATGTTGTTCGGTTGAGACAAAGCAAGGACTGAGGCGCTCCGGGAACTGTCAAGATTAACAAGAAATCAAGAATGTATAGAATTTTCGCATTGAACGGAAACGCAAGCAAGGAGTCAACCTTCTAGCCTGAAATGTCAGGCGTTCTCCCCACGCCTGACATTTCAGGCTATCAACCTTCCATCCCGTTGATTGTATTTTCTGTGACACTTTATTGCAACTGTCTGCATGGTTTCTAGTAACATACGTACAGCAGAGCAATAAAGGTTCCCTTACCAGACGCCTGAGGAGAAAACATTAATAAATTACCTATAGCGTTAACGAAGTTAACATAGATTAAGTTTCTTCCAGTACTAATAAAACAGCTGATCCAAACTGGACTTAATAGTAAGTGTCTTCCAGTAATAAAACTGCTGTTCCAAATTGCACGTTTTATAACTTATATTGTGTTAACGAGTAGCAATGACGTTAATTTAGCTCAGGTGTCTCCTGTATTGAAAACAAACAATAGTTTTACTCGTAGTGCCCCCACTGCTCTCCCCCGTAATATCATATGTGAATGTTTAAAATCCACACACGAAATAATATTTTTCGCATGCGAAATTAATTTTCATGTGAAAGAATACGTGAAATTGAAATTTCATATCTGAAAATGCTAAAGATTTACATCAGTATGAAATAAGCAATTTCACATTTGAAATGTTCCAATTCCACACTAAATGTCACATTTTAAATGACATGTGAAATTTCCATAATAAAACCACGCGTAGACCACCATAAGCAGCCCAGCAAAATGTGTATTCACTTAAACAGGGTGCGATAATTCAATATTTTTAGCCGTACCTGACTGGTACTCCGACAACTTTTGCCATGTACCTGATCTGGTACAAACTTAATTAAGAGTCAAGACGTACCTAATACTACTTCCGAGTCATGTGTTTTTATACCTATACATGTAGTTTACTGCATGGTCCAAAAGCAAAAAATGTATGGGCAATTTTTAATTATGGTATTTGTACAACGTAATATAACAGTTTTCAAAGCGTCGACATTGTCACTCGAATGCCATCGCTCATTTTACAGTGGACTTACCGAGGATGCTAACAGTTTGACCTCAGCTACATACAGTGTAGTTTTCCTCATTGGGCCTAAAAAAAACCTGTGGTTCCGGTTTCATATCGCGAAAAAATTAGGGTAGGTAGGTCGGAAATAAAAAAATTTTTGAATATTTTTTTCATGGTTTTGGCGTTTTTTTGCGGGGCGATTTTCAGTAGAGTCCCGACATCAATATTATTGTGACAACAGATGCCATTTTGGCACGCTGTGCGAGCAGCCTGCAACCACCCGGAGAAAATAGGGTCGCACGGTCAATCCTGTTGAAAAAATAAGAGAGTGGGCAAAAAAAAATAGGGTCGGTCGGGAAACCGGAACCACAGGTAATTTTTTTTTTAGGCCTTGGTATAGCATTGACAATTAAGCCCAGGTCACCCCACTGCACAACGAAAACGATACGATAACTTGTAAACACGCGATGATTGGTAAAAAAATTATGTTGGTGTCCACACTACAACGAAAACGATAAAATTATCGGCGTTTGACGATAACGATTTTAAAATCGCTCACCGGAGCGATTTTTTTTTCAGTCGGACGATGACGATAAATTTTTTATCAAGGGCAAATTTTGGATAACCTTTTGCCGTTTTGGCTTTTTTCATCCCAAAATATGTCGGATGCGTGGAATTTACATGTGCAGCTAAAATTTTTCACGGTTTTGAATACTTTGCCAGGTTTTCTAGTTATTGCTAGAAGGAAAATGTAAGTACGCGAATAGCAAATTTCCGCGTACCTACGTGGTACTTGCCTAAAAACAAAGAAGTACCAGACCATAAATTTGGCGTACCTCCGGTACGATGGTACGCGAATTATCGCAACTGGACTTAAAAATGGATTAAACGCTTAAAAATACATATAAAGTTCTTTATTTGTGTACCTCATTCACTGCATTTTTTAAGGATTTTTCAGTGGTGGGGGAAACTGCCAAAAGACCCATTTTCTTTGCCCTCCCCCCAGGATAGCATGCGATCGCCGAAGGTGTATGTGAGCCAAGTAAAGCAGGCACGAGTTAGCTTGGGGGATTTGGGGGCATGCCCCAAGGAAATTTTTAAAATTTGGGTCTCTGAAATAGTATTTCCTGCATTCTGAGAACACATTTTTAAAAAATCTCAGCTTCTCAAAACACAGGCGGGCCAATCTCGCAAGGGTCAGTATAATAATGTATATTATAGTGAAAATATGTCATAAAATATAAATTTAAAAATGAAATTGACTTGCCCACTTGATGGTGTGTATTCTCGTTTTATTCCTCTTTTGTTGGACTAATATTTTCAAAAGTAAATATTAGTCCAACAAAAGAGGGATAAAAGGAGAATACACACCATGAAGTGGGCAAGTCAATTTCATTTTAAAATTTATATTTTAATGACATATTTTTACAATAATATACATTAATACACTGACCCTTGCGAGATTGGGCCGCCTGTGCTCAAAACAAAGTTTTAATGGTGAAACTAGTTTGTAATAAATGATAGTTTTTAATCAGTGTCACTCAAATATTTTAGTTTTTTTCCTTCCTATCCAACTGGGATTAGATAATTTGCCGACTACCTGACGACTGGGGGTGTTCCAACACCCACACCCACCCACCCGTTTAGCACCACCTTTGACTGCATGTTCTGACTTATATAAGATGGAATGTCGAGAAAGCGAGAGGATATGAGAAAGCAGGCAGATGCGGCTTTTTCAACAAGGTTGACTTTTTACTGATGATCAAAAGGGCCCAGTTCATCTGAAAATCATGCTTCACTACTGGGGCGAGCAAAGGGCCTACTGGGGTAAATGCCCCAGTAGTTATATAGTTAAAAAATGCCCTGACCTCATTATACATACAGATTCCGATGTTTACGTCATTGTATCACATACATTATTACTTACATCATAAACTTTATACGTATTTTTAAGCGTTTAATCCATTTTAGTGAATACACATTTTGCTGGGCTGTCTATATGACACCACTCGTGCTATACATTTTCCAAGTGTTGAAATTTTTGGTCCGAAGTAAATTGCATCAAATAACAATACCTGATTCTGGTGTTTCCACGTGGACAGAATCACTAAATGGACTATCATCACCTTCTGTCGTATGTCGAAGTCGGAATGAATATTTTGAAACAGGTTTGGCATCAGTTACAACAAAACTATCTTCATCACCCATGTATATCATTTCGTCGTCTAAAGATTAACAGTATCTACTTTTAAATAGATCATATTTCAGGGCTGTACCAAAAATTTCACGAGTATTATTTTGCTTTTTTTCTGTGTTGGTGTATGTACTCAGGTGAATATGATGGTTGTGATGTTACTCTGAGTATATATCCACACCGGGCAAGCCCAAAAAATACGCCTGCCCACGGTGGCGTATTTTTCGGGCTTGCACGGTGTGGATATACACTCAGAGTAACATCAAAAACATATTATTTTGTTCTTATTAGAATGCTGTTTTAAGAGTTAGTAATCCAAGTGAGTATATATACACTTTAAGACCTGACCAGGAACGACTGCGAAAAATGCAGTACAAGGTTGACTGGTAGGAATTGAACCTACGGCCCTGCAATTCCGGTGCAGCGCTCTAACCAACTGAGCTACAGAGGCCAGCTGTTGAGCTGTAAGGCCAATGAAAGTTGATATCATGTTTCTCGTCCACAATTTTCAAAATTTTGGAGTGGGATTTTTTCATTTTTCATTATTTTTTGTATGTGAATTCTGAAGTAAATCGGTTTATAATTCATTTTAATTTAACACGTCCTACACTACAGTATATTTCTACATATACATGATCATTATGAAACATGAATATGCATGATTTATCTTTTCAAAAAAAGCAATAAAACCACGCGAACAGATTACTTCGCAACAAAGGAAATCGGAAGCAAACCAGAAGCACAGATGATAGATAATACCAGATGAATCACTCAGCCAAAATTGTGTCCGCGATTTTTTATGAGCACGCGTTGGCCTGAAACGTGAGCAATCACGTATTTTGGCAGTAAGCGACATTTTGGCAGTAAGTGTCGCACGCGTCATCTGGCGTGATAGCCTCGCGAAAATCGCGGACACGAAAATCATAGGGATAGATACACAGTGATTCATCTGGTATAATCTATCATCTGTGCCGGAAGAGAATGATCACGTGTCAAGATCATCCTCGTTCCCAGGGCTGACATGAAAAATAGAGGCATTCTGGCGAGTAATATCTTTAGAAAGATACAATTTGAGTTGCGCTTGCGGAATGTAGCAATAAGACTTTGATCTGGAGATCAATTTGGTGTTTTGTTAAGCCTATTTTTCAAAAATAATGAATAATGAAAAATTTTCGTGCGGCAGATAAATCCCATGCGGGCGTGGACGAGAAACATGACATCAATTTTCATTGGCCTAAACGGTAAGTTTATGAATATATAGGTGATCGGGTGTACGAGGTACGAGTTGTGATAAGGTGGACTTCAATGATCTTGTTGCTTGCACTTCACTTGGTGGAATTAATCTTAACCCTTTAAAATTCACGCTGGTAAAAATAATTTGGATAACCCGATTTCGAGGACTATTCAATTTTGATGTGGTGTTTCAAATCCGACTATGAGGACTGGACTAGATTTCAAGTCCGCACAATTTGATCACGCCTGGGGAGAAGCCGAGGACCGGATCAAAATGCGAGGAATAAATCACTACTTAGTGACTATTCAGTCCAAGGACTGAAATAATTTTGATCCAATCCTATAGGACAGGATCAATATACTTCATCAGGTATATCCAGTATTAGTATAAACCTACCAGTAGGCTATCACATATCGTGCCTTCTGATTGGCTACGCTACTAGTAGGCTATTAGTGATAGCCTACTAATAGAAAATTCAAAATGGCGGAAAATTCGCGTTTTGCACTTTTGCCGAAGTGTCTGATGATTTTTTGGACGACTTGTTGAACAATTCTGTACTAAAAACCCCCGAAAAAGCAACAAAAATATGGAATGGCAATTTTTAAGGGTTAGAAAATAGATAAAAAATAACATACAGTCAATGAAATTTTA